TAGCTGTGGAATAACCAGCATGGCTTTAGGAAGAAACGAGCGACAACAGATGCGATCGAAACCGTGAAATCGATTGCACAAAAGGCAATAGCAGGAAAGCGCTGGTCAAGGGGTGCCAAAGAGTACTGTTTGGTAGTGACTTTAGACGTGAAGAACGCATTCAACACTGCGAGCTGGAAAGCAATATTAGAAGCACTTGGAAGCATGAATGTGCCAAGGTACGTTCAAACTATAATATCCAGCTACCTCAATGATAGAATTCTGTGCTATGATAGTGACAACGGACTAGCACAGTACGAGATCACGGCAGGTGTACCACAAGGATCTGTTATTGGACCTACCTTATGGAAAATTATGTATGACGGCATCCCGCGGCTAGCAACACCTAAAGGGGCAACATTAATTGGCTTCGCGGACGATGTGTGCGTCGTTATAACTGCAAAGACACTTTCTAAGGCAGTAGAAATCGCGGAAAAATCCATAAAAGCTGCCCAAGATTGGTTAAATTTAAACTCATTAACGCTGGTAGCCCACAAGACGGAGGCTGTTCTTATCAGCAGTCGGAAGAAGGTGGAAAAAGTAGAGATCAGAGTAGGTGACACCACGTAAAGTACTCGGCGTCCTGGTTGATCACCACCTTTGCTTCCGAGATCATTTGGAATACGCCAACAAGAAAGCAGCGACGGCAAAAGCAGCTCTGTCTAGGCTAATGGCGAACGTCGGTGGACCAAGACAGCAGTCTAGGCAAGTATTAGCAGGCGTAGTACGATCAGTAGTCCTCTATGGATCGCCAGTGTGGTTCGAAGCTTTTAAACGGCCATCCTACACCCGAGAAATAAATGCTACGTATCTCTTATGTGCTCTTAGAGTGTGTTCAGCTTTCAGAACCGTTTCCGAGGATGCAGCTTCTATCATCGCGGGATTATGTCCACTTGACCTCGTAGCTCAAGAATTGCACGAAAAAAAATGCGAACCGTGACCAACTTCGCACAGTACGCAGCGCAGTTAAAACCGCAGCAAAAGAACGCACTGAAGCACAGTGGCAGGAATGGTGGGACAGAACAACAAAGGGTAGATGGACTTACCGCGTCATACCAAAAATTGGCACTTGGCTCAGCAGGAAACACGGCACAGTCGATCACTATCTGACCCAAGTCCTCAGTGAACACGGATGCTTTAAAGCATACCTTTATCGCTTCGGACATGCGCAAAACCCTTATTGCGAGCGCTGTGGACCGACGGTTGTTGAAGACGCCGAGCACGCATTTTTCAAATGCCCCCGCTTCGACTCCATGAGATCCGTACTTAATACCAAACGTGGCTCGTGTATAACACCAGAAAATATGGTACCGATAATGTTAACGAGCGAGAAAGCATGGAACGATGTCTGCCATTTCTATGCCGAAATGATTAAAGTCCTTCGACGCAACTTAAATTAGCAGCCGCTACAGTCTTGGCGCAACAAGCCGGTTTTCTTGAGAAGTAACGGCGTTAAGTGGGCGAGACTCTAAAAATCGAATAAGCGATATTAAATTGCTATATGCAGTCTATACTTTACTTAGATACGAACTTCCTAATAGGACAATCTAAATAGGTGGGTTGGTTTAACACCATATCGACTTTAACTGCGGGTGGTATCATGTAAACAGTAACGGACGTAGAGCTTAGTGCTCAGACCGCCTCCCGACGAAATACTTGACGGTGGTACCGGGGGGATCGGTACGTAGACGGTAGGAGGTTTAGTGGGTTAAAGTCTCACACTGACTGGTTTGGGGTTAAGGCTTTCGATGATTCCTCCTCTGAAAAAAAAAACCTACATATGTACATGAGAAGAGTATTTAACCTTGTCTACGCCGCAATCTAAATATAATAATATTTCCACTAATTAAATCCATTATGTTTTTCAATGTTAGTTTTTAGTTTGTTCTTCACTTGTTTTGTTGATATAATATTTCCTCACTGACAGATGACTTTTACATTTAGCGTGATATTTACACATTGGTTTAGAGAATCGCTTGAAACCTGAAAGTGTACACTTGAGAAAATATGAGTTTTGCACTCGGTGTACACTTTGCATTTTCTCACAGTTACAGAATCCAGCCCCAGCTAAGTTAGTTTCTAAAGAAGATTTACCAATATTACCTCTTTTGTTAAAGTTTTCTCATCTCATAGATTGCGATAATAATAACCACGCAGTGGAATTTACTGAGGCTAAGTGAGCTTGATATTTTCAGAGATCTGGATATTGATATGTTTTGGTAAAAAGTTTAGTCTATTAAAAATGGAATGAATGAAAGTAGCTTCATGCATCTGCCAATTTGTTTTTAATATAATTTCATTAGCACTTAGCTCTGCATACCGCAAATTTTCAACGCTTTCTTTGATTAAACTAAACTAAGAAATAAACTTAAGATACAGTTTCAATAGCATAATGTTATGCAAGGAACTTGTAAACAAAAATGACCCGCACTATGTGTGGTCAGCTGCTAAAGATTTGCATGTGTAATTAATTGGATTAAATTTTCTTTTAAGAAATTAAACTTTTTAGTACATAACATGTATGTATATAATTCATACAACCAAAAAATGTCAAATGATCGCATCTCTGTGCCTAAGACTGTACCTGCATTTATTTATTTCTTGTTTGTATAAAAATGTACAAAGTACATACATATATGTATGTATGTAAATGTTTTGTATTCGAAACATTTAGGGCCAAATTCACAGTGCGTAGTTAACTTCTGACAAGAGTTTAACTATCGATTTTGATATTCACAGTGCTCAGTTAACAAAAGTTTAAACCAGCATGCCCCATAGTTTAACTCGGGTGAAATAATTTCTTTTTTGTTTTGTGGAACGAATTTCAAATTTATATAGCAAAATGCTGATTTTTAGGATTTATATATTTTTAGGCAATATAAATTTCCATAGTAACTATGTGGCTCTGAATATAAATTGGCAGTTAAACTCTTGTTGGTAATTAAGTTAGTAATGGTTTAACTTAGCACTGTGAATCCGGCCCATAATCTTAAATAAATGAATTGTATGCTTTCAGAATACTTTTTTGTACACTGAGAAAAGAGTTTAGTTACGTCAACTAAATATGTTTTTCTCAACACATTATTTGGTTATAGTTACATTATTTGTTTATAGTTACCAAATCATGTGTTGAGAGGAATATATTTGGCTGACTTTTTTCTGAGTGTAATTGCAATTTATTTGGTAGGTTGTAAACGTTTTGTCGGATTTGGGAAAAAAATTGGTAGGGGAAAAAATTTTTAGTGGCAAAGCTGCTATGCACTTATGTATACAAAGCAAGAATTCGCATAAATTACGTTGATTAGTGGTCGCCGCTGCTTCCACTGAGTGATGCGCGCATCTTTGTTCTACTGCAGTTTAGTTCTACTTCAGTTTTGTTATGTTGTTTGTTTTGCCTATCGTGCAGCATTCGTTCGTATGACAAAATCTTTCCTCAGTGTAGTAGTTGATTTTTTATGCGAGTGAAGAAGAGATGCAGTGCTTAAAATGAGAGCTTACGGCTTGCAAGCCATTTATGGTGCTTGTGCAGCTCTCTAGTATACACCTTAAAAAGGAAATATTTTAGTGCTAAAATTTTAAAGCATAAAAATTACATTTTTTTTACGTTATAAGTCGGACAGGCGAAAACGAGCATTTATAAAAATAAAATTTTGCGTAAATTCTGTTCTTTTGAAGAGTCCCTCAAAGTTACATCAAAATCTAAAATAGGTCCGCGACTTCAATTAGTTGGTTTCATATGGAACGACTCTAGCATTAATTTTTGTCTACTTGGTTGGTTTAGCTTCAAGAAAGAATTTTATTTCGTTGACTTCATAGAATGAATAAAATAAATAAAGAGAAGTTAACTGGAAATAGCGTATAGCAGCGCAACTTTAACTGAATATCCAGAAATACAACTTTACTCTATTGCACCATTTAGAAAATAAAAAACAAATATGTATGTGCATATTTAATAAAATGTAAGAAATAAATTTAATTTTTTAAGCTAAAAGCGAAACCCCAAAAATTAGTTTTATTTTCTGAGAAAACTATTGGTGTGACAACATTAATACACACACGGCAAATCGGAGGGAAAACTTAGTCAAACGCGTAGTGAAATGTGCATTCGCCAAATAGCTATGTATTTTTTAATGATAATGTTTTTTTTTATTAAATTAATAGTTGATTTATTGTAAGATATTTTAGGTTATAAAAGTTCTATTTTTCTGATATTGGCCTTCTAATGAGTAAAATGTGTTTTCATGAATGCGCAGTGTTTCACATTATTTAAAATTTAGTGATAAATTCACCGAAAATTTATATGTGATCAAGTGGCATCAATTGTAACCAAATTCGTAAATGCCCAAAAATTCCGTCTGTTCAATTCCGCTTCGTATGTGACCAATTACATCTCAAATCATGCAAGCAGACTGCATCTACATATCTCTTCGAATCACTTGTAATTTTAGTATATTATTCTACTCGGAAAATAAGCGAATACGTATTTTTTTTTATTTATCATTATCATCAAAATTGCATGTTAATACAGTGGAAATTGTGCATATTGTGGAGAACACAGCATTTTGAATCGTTATATCTCTGAAATATTAATTCCTACGTACAAAACTGTTATAACAGTTTTTATAGATAATTGCATGATCTACTCTTTTGTGACACCTATTTTTATGATACACCTTACAGTTTGATTGAAAAATCCGAACAACCAATTTATGTGACATTTGGCCTCGAATACATTTTTTTGTGGATGTGGAATCGATGGGGGCTTTTCACATTTAATTTATAACGGCGTTCCCAACATTCGTACCAATTTCCAGCTCAATGCGAATCATTGTATGCTTACACCTATTTATTGAGCTAACTTGACTGGGATAATAATAGTATATTTTTTTTTTTATTTCCTTTAACTCTCTTGAAAGACAAAAATAACCTTAACACCATATATACCAAAACATAGGTGTTAGAAAAGATACGGCAACACCCTAGTGAATCGAAAGGAATTTATGGGGGACGTTTCTGCGATTGTTTTGACATTCTGCCTTTTTGATCTCTTTTTTGCACGTGTGCACACATAAATTGAAAATTTAAATCAGGATTGATCCCTTTTTGTACTAAAGTAAGTGCTATATAAAATAAATGTAATTATCATTTATTGAACAATTAAAATAAATTCACAGATATTTCAAACGACAGTCAAATAAAAGCGTTTTGAGAATTTGGGCGTGGGGTCCATCACTGAATCCGTAACAATTTTGAAATATTTTAACGTGCTTGCATTAATTCGCAAAATGCTAAAGGCTAAGACTACCGAAGGTTATAGCTGTAAGATCTGCAGCAAAGCTGATGATTCACAGATGGTTTGCTGTGACGAGTGCGAAACATGGTACCATTTTCGGTGCGTTGGCGTTACAGCTTCGATCGAAAATGTGGACTGGCGCTGTGCGGAGTGCCGCACTCCGTCGCGCAACACTATGGCAGGGCAGGAGAAAGGCCAAGAGGGCACATGCGACGGACTTGCTAAGAATCCAAATGCACAAGGTAATGGTGGGGAGCATGCCCAAAACGTCGTAGACGCCGAAGTCGACGTACGAGGTGCCCCACGCAGTAGTGCCAGCGATAAGTCAGCAAAGATGCGGCGACAACGTGCCGAAGCCGCACTTCTTGAAGAAGAGCTACAAATTCTTCGTAAAAGAGAAGCATTAATTGAAAGGCGCCGAAAACTTCTACAAAACCTCGAAACAGAAGACGAATGTTCCGATCTGGACGAAGGGTTGGACTCAACCGCGGTGGAAAAGTGGCTTAATGCAACTGTGCCTACCTTGCCCAACTCTGCGCCACCGAAAACACCGCACCAAGGTCACAAGACTCCAGCCGCGCAACCAGCCGGTCCCTCGGTTTCTCTCAGTCAGCCAAAAGAAGCACCCGACGACAGGAATTTCCAGCTCCAGATCCAGTCCCTGCTGGAAAAGGTTTCTATACTGGAGCAAAGCGTACACAACACGGCCGTTCCTGCAACCGGCGCAACATGGATACCTAAATTGGTACCCAAATGCTCGTCATCACCGACGGATTCTAAGGCAACTGGCGAAAACGTCCCGATGCCGTCACTCTGTCTCACCAAGAATCAGATCGCTGCGCGCACTAGTGTTGGTAAAGACTTACCTAAGTTCAACGGCAAACCGGAGGACTGGCCTTTGTTCCTAGCCACTTACCAGCAAACTACCGAACTATGTGGGTTCTCCGAGGGTGAAAATCTTTTACGTTTACGACACGCTCTAGAGGGAGCCGCTCGGGATGCCGTCAGGAACTTACTCTTACATACTTCATGCGTATCGCAAATAATCGACACGCTAAGAATGAAGTTTGGGCGCCCCGAGCTTATTATCGCTGTACTCGTGACACGAATCCGGGAAATACCAGTCGTAAAGGAGAACCGTCTTGAGGCTTTAGTCGACTTAGCCTTAGAGGTACAAAATGTTTGCGCAACAATGAAGGCTTCGAATATGCTGTGCTATCTCAACAACCCCGAGCTGGAGCAAGAGCTAGTGAACAAGTTGCCCGGACTTCTTGCCGCATTTTGGGGTATGCACAAGTTGCAGTTGACTTCCTGCAATCTCGAAAACTTCGCGGACTGGCTATTTCAACTCGCCCAAGGAGCGAATAGTGTATTGGTGCCGTCCGTGACTTCAAAACCATCCACCAAACGTGGATACTTAAATGCTCACGCTGGCGATGCCAGAACTGGGAAACACAGCCCGTGCGTCATATGTCATGGAAAGTGTAGTACGACGGAGAATTGCAGCAAATTTAGGGCTGCGGATAGAGCGGAGCGGTGGAACTTAGTGCGTCTAAGTAATTTGTGCCGTCGCTGCTTAAAGGTACACCCTCGTCTTCAATGCCCCTCTGATGTCGTATGCGGGATAGATGGTTGCGTTTCCATACACCATCCCTTACTTCACAAACAGCGGAACAATCCAGTTAGCTCACCACTGGCTAACTCCACGCTAAACACTCATAGCTGCGACATGGAATCAGTTTTATTTCGGGTGCTACCGGTAACGCTTCACGGTAAGAACATAAAGATTAAAACATACGCGTTTTTCGATGACGGTTCGTCACTTACGTTGATGGACGCCGAACTACAAAAGCAATTGAGACTTTCGGGCACAGCACAGCCTTTGTGCCTGAAGTGGACAGCGAACACCCACCGTTATGAAGACGACTCCCAGGTGCTCGAGTTGAATATATCTGGGTTCAACGACAAAAGACGTTTCACGTTAACGAACGTGCATACAGTAAAAAAACTTGAGCTTCCAATGCAGTCTATCGATGCCAGTAAGCTTCAAACCAAGTACGCACACCTGCGAGGCCTTCCGTTGTCCTCCTACGTCGACGCCGTGCCGAAGCTATTAATAGGTCTGAACAACAGTCGCCTGGGCCTAAGTCTTCGATCGCGCGAAGGGTCTGACAATGAACCGGTAGCAGAAAAGACACGCCTGGGGTGGACAGTAAAGGGTGTCCTGGCAGCGCAACGACGAAATTCCGGCTACCATGCATTTCACGTTTGCGACTGTGATACCGCAGCAAACGCCGAGTTACTACAAACCATTAAGGAGTACGTTCTTTTGGATAATCTGGAAGTCGTTGGAAAGGCTGGCGATCTGATATCCAAGGAAGAAAATCACGCGGTTGAGCAGCTCAAGTCTACTACCCGGCGTGTTGATGGTCGCTTCGAAACCGGATTAATCTGGAAATATGCTAACCACACGCTTCCTGACAGCCTACCGTTAGCCTTGCGGAGAGCGCAGTGTCTCCAGAGAAAGCTTACGCGTGATCCAGAACTCGCCGAGATTCTGTCATTCAAAATCGCAAATTATGTGGCTAAAGGATATGCTAAGGAACTGCCAGCCGATTCGCTGTTAGAAAAGGGGTGTTGGTACCTGCCCATATTCCCCGTACGTAATCCGAACAAGCCACAAAAGCTTCGCATCGTCTGGGACGCTGCCGCCAAAACCAGGGGGGTATCTCTAAATTCGATGCTCTTGAAAGGACCGGACCAATTGACCTGTCTACTATCTGTCCTAAGAAGATTCCGACAACGAGCAATAGCCTTGAGTGGAGACATAGAAGAAATGTTCCACCAAGTCCGCATCAGACGTGAGGATCAAAACTATCAGCGTTTTGTGTGGTTTGCACCCGGCGCCACTGAACCGTCAGTTTTCACGATGACAGTTATGACTTTCGGGGCCACCTGCTCACCTAGCAGTGCTCAGTACATAAAAAATCTGAATGCAGAGGAGTTCCGGAACCGCTTTCCGAGAGCCGTCGAGTGTATCGTCGACAACCATTATGTTGATGATATGCTTGATAGCGTGGACACAGTAGGTGAGGCTGTCAAGCTTGCCAGAGATGTCAAGTTCATTCATGGGGAAGGTGGTTTCCATATCAGAAACTGGCGGTCGAACTCCGAGTCGGTCCTACAAGCACTGCACGTTGGTGCCAGTAAACCCGAAATGAGCTTGAGTCCTGATCCAGAGATACCAGCTGAGAAGGTTCTGGGCCTTTGGTGGCTCACCAGAGAGGATTGTTTTACATTTCGTGTGTCTCCGCATCACAAGCATGGGGATCTTCTGCGCAATCACCGTTGCCCTACCAAGAGAGAAGTATTGAGTATTATCATGAGTATATTCGACCCTTTAGGGCTACTTAGTTTTTACATCGTATACGCCAAGATATTATTCCAGAAGATTTGGCGCTCAGGTTGTGGCTGGGACGACAACATTCGCGATGACTATTACTCCGACTGGCAGAGATGGGTTCGCCTACTTCCTGAGGTGGAGACCGTAAGGATACCACGATGCTATTTCACAGATCTGAGCCACGAGTCCGAGCTGGAAATGCACGTCTTTGTTGACGCCAGCGAAAATGCCTACGCGGCCACATGCTACCTACGTCACGCCATTGGAAGTGTCATCAATTGCAGGCTGGTAGGAAGTAAAGCGAAAGTAGCACCGTTGAAGATGCTCTCGGTTCCACGGCTCGAGCTGCAGGCTGCTGTCCTAGGAGCTAGACTGGCTGCAGGGGCACGCTCTTCGCATACGCTAAACATTCAACGACAAACGTATTGGACCGACTCCCGCACTGTGCTGGCGTGGATTCGCGCTGACCACCGTCGCTATTCACCATTCGTGGCATTTCGGGTGAGCGAAATCTTGGAACTAACGGAGATGTCAGACTGGAGATGGGTTCCTTCAGCGGAAAACGTTGCCGACGACGCCACAAAGTGGCAAACCACGCCTAGCATGTCGAGTCAAAACCGATGGTTTAATGGACCACAGTTCCTAGTTCTTGACCCTAAATTCTGGCCTGTCGACGCTGAAGGCCTCGAACCCACTAGAGAGGAGCTGAGGGCCAATTTCGTAGGTTATCATGGTACGGAGCAGCAAGAGCGAAAGACCTTGGTAGCGCATGAACGCTTTTCGCGGTGGACTCGTCTCCTGCGAACAATTGCGACTGTTGTACTGAGTCTCCGCAGGTGGAAGATGTACAGCAAAGGTATACGAACACCCTGTCACCGGGTGGAACAAGAAGACCTCAATAGTGCCGAAAAGATACTTTGGAAAGAAGCCCAATACGAGGCATTCGCTGACGAAATCGCTCTGCTTGTGAACGGGAAACCACTAAACCGATCAAGTTCTATCTACAAGCTTTCACCATACCTGGATGAGGGATCATTGCTACGGCTCGGTGGCAGATTCAATTTGCCCGGATGTCAGGACCAAGTTATATTGCCACGATGCCACAACATAACTCGACTGCTGGTTTTAGACTACCATATCAGATATTGCCACGGGAACTCGGAGACCGTTGTGAACGAGATACGCCAGAAGTTCTGGATTCCCCGACTACGCGCCGTGGTCAAAAAGATTCGCCAGGAGTGCCAGATCTGTCGACTCAAAAACGCGTCCCCACGACCACCAAAGATGGGCAACCTACCCGCGGCCCGAGTTACTCCCTTTGTCCGGCCGTTTTCATACGTGGGTGTCGACTACTTTGGACCATTGTTGGTGTCCGTACGCAGGAGCACGGCGCAGAGGTACGGCGTGCTCTTTACTTGCCTGACAACGAGAGCGGTTCACTTGGAGATAGCGTACTCATTATCTGCCGATTCGTGTATCCTGGCCATTCGGAGTTTTATGGCCAGACGCGGCGTCCCACGTGAATTTTGGAGTGATAACGCCACCAATTTCAAGGCCACACAGCGGGAACTCAGTGCTTCCTTTAACGAAATGGACAAGGACAAGCTTGTACGCGCCTTTACGAGCTCTTCCATGAAGTGGATGTTCATACCACCAGCATCGCCACACATGGGTGGTGCCTGGGAAAGGCTAGTTAGGTCGGTAAAAGACGTCCTTTCGAAGATACTACAATCGCAACGACCGTCTGACGAGCTATTGCGAGGAGCCTTAATGGAAGTCGAATCCATCGTCAACTCCCGACCACTCACCTACATACCGCTGGATCACTATGAAGACGAGGCTCTCACACCAAATCACTTCTTGATTGGCAGCTCCAGCGGAATGAAGCCCTTGATAGAGTTTGTTGATGAAGCAGTTCAATTGCGAAGAGGTTGGAGATGTGCTCAGCAACTGGCGGATGCATTCTGGAGACGTTGGGTGCGCGAATATCTACCCGTAATAACTCGGCGAACAAAGTGGTTCGAAAAGGTAAAGCCAATTGAAGAAGGGGACGTCGTCTACCTAGTGGACCCGAACGGTCCGAGAAGCTGCTGGCCCAAAGGTCGAGTGATCTCTGTTAGAGTAGGCTCTGACCAACAGGTGAGGAGCGCTTTGGTGAAGACTAGCGCTGGTATATACGAGCGACCGGCCACGAGACTTGCCGTACTTTCCGTGAGTATACCGGAGAATGGGGTAGATCCGAAGGATATACCAGGGGGGAGTGTTAGAAAAGATACGGCAACACCCTAGTGAATCGAAAGGAATTTATGGGGGACGTTTCTGCGATTGTTTTGACATTCTGCCTTTTTGATCTCTTTTTTGCACGTGTGCACACATAAATTGAAAATTTAAATCAGGATTGATCCCTTTTTGTACTAAAGTAAGTGCTATATAAAATAAATGTAATTATCATTTATTGAACAATTAAAATAAATTCACAGATATTTCAAACGACAGTCAAATAAAAGCGTTTTGAGAATTTGGGCGTGGGATCCATCACTGAATCCGTAACAATAGGTATTGAGGCAAGCTATCTTAAAAAAAATGCATTTTTAATTTTTTATGAAAAGTGCTGTAATTTTTTGGTAAAAAAAATTAAAGCGTCAGATCGAAGGAAATAACCCATAGTATCGAATAGATATACAATTATTTTCAAATAAAAATACAAATTAGAACGAAAAAATGTTCGATTTGTGAGAATCGAAAATTGCTGAGTCATTTCTGCAAAGTGCATGAAACTACAGTATATACAGTGTGCCAAGTAATGACATTTAATTTTTCTCTTATCCATATTTGACAATTGCTTGAGTGTGTTAGTTAAAATTTTGAAATTCGTTGCCACCTTCTTTAACCTTTCTGGTAGTTTGCATTTAAAATTTTTTTGAAATCGTGAACAGAAGAAAATACCTATTAACAAAAAATAAATATAGAAAGCGAAAAGGCCAAGGATGCATTGTAACGTTAACATTAGATTTTACCAAAAAAAAGCAATCGTTTCTGTTGAAACGATTCAGTTTTTTATCGCTTAGGCTATTATCATAGTAAAATAATAATATTTATTTCGTTCAACGTTAACGATTGAGTTTTGTTTCGTTAATTTAGCTCTGAAACGAAACGAAATTATTTTGGTAAGTTATTTTTGCGCACCAACAAAGCGATATCGATTCATATAGTTTGTTGAGCAAACTAATAATGCAGCATACGTGTTTTTTATGCAAGAGTGCGAAGTGCGGTGACTCCGTGTTCATCGTACCGAACGAAGAGTATGTAAAAAGAACAGTGGGAGCTAGCTTGCCATATGTCTTTGTCACCAACAGCATGTATTTGTGAGAATCATTTTAAAACCCCGGACCTTTCTAGTCGCGTAAGCTATTGCATCCGGAATAAGTTCCGTCAAAGCAAGTACCAGTGCCCAATCTATCCAATGTGGAAATAGAAAGAATTTACGAAATTAAATTTTATTTGATTAAGTAATAGGAATTTAACTTTGCAATTAAAATCAATTTTGATTACAGAACAAAAATTTGTGTTTTTTTAAACATGTGTTATCTGAGGGTTAATTGAATTAAACAACTAACACAAACACATCAGTTCACGTATGATTTGTCAAATCTGGATATCGTCATTACTTGGCACACTGTCTACACTGTGCATGAAACATAGAATTTTTATGATTGATAAAAAAACGTATGCGCTTATTTTCCGAGTAGAATAATGTAATAAAATTTCAAGTGATCCGGTGAGATAGGTGCAGTCGGCTTGCATGATTTGAGATGAAATTGTAGTACATTTACTTGCCGTCGGGCGTGACTATTTCGTACAAATATGATTTCTCACAGTCTGATGTTTTCAACTTACAATAATCGGTTATCCTCACTTAAGCTCTTATATCGTCACTATTTACGGAATGAACATACTATTACATAGTTGACAGCGAAAATAAGTTTACGCGTCCTTCTTCGCCGTCAACTATGTTAAGAGTCTTTCTTCGCTGAAGTTTGTTTTATGCGCCTTTTTTCGCGTCAACTTTTGAGCTCGCGCCTTTATAGACACGAAATGATGATATAAATTCGTTAGGCAATACATTTCCTAAGCCAATTTAAGGCACTTACAAAGAATTATGTAATTTAACGTTTATTACAATTGTAATCGACTTCAGAACGATACTAGGTATCAAGGTTTTTGTTAACCCTTTTTATCTGACGACTATTGAAATTTGAATTCCGAATTAGCATGTCACACTTCTATACCATTCTTTGAAACTTTTTCCTGCAGAGGTAAAACACTTCCTCATTAAAACCACGTTCTTACGTTTGAATCTATAAAATACAATAAAACAATTAGCTTGACAATACATTGGTTTTATGATGCCTTTTCCGTGGTAAGTGAAAATATTTATAAAAGGAATGTCCCATGTTTTTTTTTTTTTGTATGCATTGGGCGCTGGTTTTCGGTGCATTTTCTGTGACAGCAGTTATCTTGCTTAATCTTTTTCGAACCAAACAAAAAAGACGCTGAAACTAGATACTTCTTATGCAGATTAAATATGCAATTTAGTTTTTGACTCATACTAAGTATAGCAGGTGCATGTTTCAATGCATATTGCATTATTTCCTTTGTAAAAGCTCGCAAACCACTGATAAATATACCAAAAGGTATCCAGCAATGTTGGATTAAATAGATTCGAATTACTGCTTTTAATATCTTCGCTTGCTTGTTGATCCCGATCACACTTTCTACAACTTGTCCCACCAAAAGATGTGTGAAAGTGCATATAAGAGCTCCCACTTGTAGGACCTATTTGATTACTATTTCTACTCCTTGGTAATTCATCAGGGAATGAACCATTTCCGCCACGTTTAGCTGTTTCACTATCCATACATTCCATGAAGTTTGTAGCGCAAGATGGTTGGTATATCACAGCTGATGCATGGCCGGAACGACCAGAGTTTAAAGGGGTGCCTTCGTCCCAGGTGTTAGTTTTAGGATCGTATACCTCAACAATCGAAAGAAAATTTGTACCGTCGAATCCACCAATTGCATAGAGCTTTCCATCTAACGGAGTAAGAGATAAAGCGCTGCGAGCGATACGTACTGGTGCCACTAATTCCCAAATTTGATTTTCAGTGTCATATCGCTCCACCGTGGCAAGTTGGCGTGTTCCATCAAATCCACCAACCACATAAATGAATTGGTTAATAGCAGCGACACCTGCAAGTATAATGAAAAATAATTATGTTTGACATAATAAGTGATATTACCTTCCTTTTATTAGCTCGGGATGTAACTATGTAATATTGATACGCCTAAAAGATGCAGCGATTTCTATTCTCAAATTACAAACCTGATGACAGTACGAATGGCAATTATAATAGGGAGGTTTTAGTTTTTAAAACTATAATTTTATTATTTTTGTTCATATTTGTGTATGTTCATATACAGTTAGCGTCAAAAATATGTATACCCTGACGTTTTGATGATTTTATTTATAGATATTTTCCATACCAATTTTTTCTTATTTTTTATAAAAATATAGTTATTTCAGCAAAAACCAGCATAGTCAAATTCAAGAAATACTAACAAATTTTCATAAAAATTTTCAACTTAGAAAAATTTTAAATATGCAGTTTTGTAGCCCACGGTAAGGTGTAAGCTTCAAGTCTTTAAAAATGACCGCTGATTTTTGAATTTTTTTTTTTGTCAAGGGTGTTGGGCATTTTCCTCCATATATCACGCGAACAATATCTGATTTTATATCGAAGAAAAGGCGCAACACCCTTGACAAAAAAAAATCTCAAAAATCAACGGTAATTTTTATAGACTTGAAACTTACATCTTATTATATTAGGGGTATTCTCTGAGTCTTGCAAAGCACTTGCATGGTGCACAGATTGCACGGTAAAAAACGGGTTTCGTATGGGACAGCTTTGCTAACCGTGGATTGCACGTGTAAGGGCTTTGCAAGACTCAGAGAATTCTCCTATTGGCACTGCAGACACGTACACCTCTTCCGCTCCCCAACAAACATGTAGGCTGGAGAATGATTCGAAAACACTTTCGAATTCAAATGTATTTCGCTAAGGTAGAAGGTTATAAGACGACTACATAAATTGTCGGGTATTAGGGACTTAGTTCTCGATATCGAGAAAACGGTTAGATATCTAATCGTATTGTAACGTTAAATGCCAACATAGTTCTCTAACCTGCTAGAAACAATAGAGAACTACATTAGAATTCTAATATAAAACTAAAAGTTTATCTAACGTTAGAGACTCTGTTTGCTGGGATCACCTATTTTCCCCAAAGTGACGGTAAATGCAGCCGTGCGTCAAGAGCAGCGCTAGCTGTTGTAGAGAAATCTCTCATAAAGCACACAGCAATCGTTCTTTGAAGTTTAGTAATCAGATTTCCCACGCTTTTGATTGAGAGTCGGCTCCACCATACCACTAACGCAGAGCTGATTATAGGTATTATCTTAGAGGTGTAAAGCCAGAGGACAGACCTGTTTACATTGTCAAATGAGAATTCCACGACAGATACTCAACTTTGCAAGAAGTCTAAATTGTGGCTCTTTTAAGTGCGAGGCGAATAATACTATCCGACCGTCTGCTTCTAATGACAAGCTCAAAAGTTTTGGTTGGCTTAGCGTAGAGCCCATTTCCATTGCACTTAGTGTGACCCCGCACGTGACATATTGGCCTCCTTCTGCCTGAATCCTAATGACCAGCTGCGCGATCCAATTTACCAGTACAGAACCTACTCCATGCCGTAAAGTAGAGTTGCACATGCTATCGATAGTGGCATTGTCAAAAGCACCCTCAATGTCTACAAAACTACCTAAGGTGAACATTTTCAATCACTATGTAACTGCTAACTGTTGAGTTAATAAGACGTGTTTTTCTTTGTGTCGCGATTTGTTTAATTTCTTAGTCTTGTAGGCAAATATTTTAGACTTATTTTATCGGTAAAATGCATTCTTGACTTTGCAAAGAAGGTTGATCGCGCCGACAGTAGAAAGATTGCTTGCTCCGACTGCAGAAAGTATTAACACGGTTCGTTTGCCAAATTAACATTCGAAGATGTTACATGAAGGCAAATAACGCGAGCTATTGGTGTGATTCGTGTGTCTTCAAGCGCAGAAGAACTCTGCTACAACACCCACTTCCAAGCCCTTCTACGGCTGTGGTCATTCATCAGAAGCTACAAACTTTGGTTTCCTCGAGCCCCAAAAATATTTACCAAAAACCAACGAATTCACCAAGCTTAGTGACGAAAAACAAAAACAAACTGTACGGCAAAAGCAAAGACATCGGCGAAACCACTCCAAATAGCCAAATAGCAACCAGCAACAACATAAACGTACAGAAGCAACAAGAAAATTTAAAAACGTTAGAAAACGAAGACATTGCATGCCAACAACCTCACGACCAGCAGAAGACAAGCACAAATGAAAATAATAAAACCATAACTCTTCAACTCTTGTATGATAAGATTACACCGTGCGATAAAAACAAAAATTTAAAAACACACGAAGCAATTAGGGTTGCCAACCGTACTATAATATATAGTATTGTACTATTTTTTCGGTCGGCGTACTATATACTGTTGGAGAAAATATTGTTTGAAAAAATACTATACTTCTTCAGCTATAAATATATATATAAATATTTAAGAAATTTGCAAGAAAAAATGTGTATTAAAATGGATGAGCTTTATACCGAAATAACAATATTAAATGAAATATTCTTTAAAGTAAAAGGTCATAGTCCGTTTATAATCAAAAATGGTAACATATTTTAAAAGATCTGAGAATGAGTTACCAAATTTACATAAAGTTATTTAATTTCTACTCTCCATTCCTGCAACTTCGGTATTCACAGAAATAATTTTTTTTATTATGAATGTGAAAAGGCGAGATAAGAAAGAAGGCAACTGCCTTACTAATAAAAAAATAACTTTTGATTTACATTAATTTAAATTTTGATTGCGAAAGATCTTATGATCAGGGTACGAAAATAAACTGTACAAAACAATTCCCATTTGCTCATCGATCATCATATCATTTGTGGTTTTGTACAGTTTTGTAAATAGTCAGAAACAAATTGTAAAATTCACTGTCATTTTCCCCAACGAGAAACGTTTGCTTTTCGTTTGTGACAATTGTACCATAGGGTACGTTTTATATGTATGCAAACGTTTCAATTACGTGAAAAATAATTTTTTTCTGTAAATTTTCATATCCAATTCAATTAAAAAACATTTTTATTTTTTTTATTCATTGCAGCCATTCGTTTTGTATTTGTTTATTGCATATATGTGCATACATAAATATATTTTCCCTGCACGATTCATTTCGTTTGTTGTTTCGTCTGTAACTACTAAACTACTGTAGTGTACTATCGCCAAAGTGAACTTAGCCGTTTTGTGTCGTATTGTACCGAACTGTTAAAGTAATAAACGAAACGAAATAGTAACGTACAATATAGTTTATTTTCGTACACTGCTTATGATACTTTCACAGTTAACAATAAATTGTTAAAGACTGCCAAGAGTGCAAGGATATATATTTTTTATAAACGAAACGCATAAGAAAGAAAAAAGATGTCTACTTAAAAACCTTTGATACTTTTTCTCTTAAATAAAATACTATATATATTTGAAGTGTGCTATATTTTTTCGAATTTTTTTGGAACTATAACGCGATCCCCTCAAACCCCTCCCATTAGAAAGGCGATAGTCCCCACTTTATAAAGAGCAACATCCCCCCTTCGGATCCTCCCACAGCCCCTAGGGAACCGTCTGAAAATGGGGGAAAAAAGGAATTTACCGAGGCAACTTGAGCAGCTTGAAGTGGAGTATAACCCAACTATCAGAAACTGTGGAATTTTCGAATAAAAGAAATTATCCCAAGCTCGTTATCGGCCATTTTGTATAAAGAAGTTTACTAAAAAAAATTTCTTTGTTTTTGTTATTTTATGGCGTTATAACAATTATATTCAAAATTTTTATTGAGCTTGAGGCCGTTTTTAATGAAAAACTTATTGTGGAAAAGCAACAATAATTTGAAAAAAATGGCAAAAGTGATAGCTATTTCGGAAATCACCACATTTCCTCATCAGACTTCTTTCAGTAAAATTCGAACCGACGATTCCACTGACTCAGCCAGTTGCCTACACACTGTGCTAAGTTCGCCTTGTGAATTCTTCTTGCTTTTCCACTATTTCATTTGCTAAGCCAACTACAATCAAGCGCAGATATTCCGCTGCAATTCACACTTGATCAAGTGGTTGTTGATTTTGCTGGTTTTTGTTAATATTTCTATTATTAGAATGTGTAGTTGGCTTAAAAAATGAAATAGTGAGAAAAGCAACAAGAATTCACAAGGCGAACTTAGCACAGTGCGTGGGCAACTGGCTGAGTCAGTGGGATCGTCGGTTCGAATCCTACTGAAAGAAGTCTGATGAGGAAATGTGGTGATTTCCGAAATAGCTATCACTTTTGCCATTTTTTTTCAAATTATTGTTGCTTTTCCACAATAAGTTTTTCATTAAAAACGGCCTCAAGCTCAATAAAAATTTTGAATATAATTGTTATAAGCCCATAAAATAACAAAAACAAATAACTTAAGGACGAGCACACCTAAAAGCTAAACATTCTATATATAGAAATATTAACAAAAACCAACAAAATCAACAACCACATGATCAAGTGTGAATTGCAGCGGAATAGCTGCGCTTGATTGTAGTTGGCTTAACAAATGAAATAGTAGAAAAAGCAACAAGAATTCACAAGGCGAACTTAGCACAGTGCGTAGGCAACTGACAGAGTCAGTGGGATCGTCGGTTCGAATCCTACTGAAAGAAGTCTGATGAGGAAAGTTGGTGATTTCTTAAAAACTTAGCTATCACTTTTTCAAATTATTGTTGCTTTTTCCACAATAAGTTTTTCATTAAAAACGGCCTCAAGCGCAATAAAAATTGTTGAAAATAAAAAAAGTTTCCCTAAAAATATTGTTATGTTGAAAAAAGCGCGACAGGTCAAAATGTTATAGTAATAGTAATATGATAATATTTTAGCGGAGACCTTCTTTATGTTATATTAATTGTCATATGATAGTGTTTTAGGCCAGACCTTCTTTCTGCGTAGGGATTATATGTAACTACGGTGACCATATTTATGAGAGCCGAATACGAGACAAAAAGTAATTTTCC